TGTTATTTAAATAGAAAATCATTTTGTGTCTGGGGGCACGTGTTAACTCGCAAATTAAAAAATTTTTTTGGTGTATAATGAAAAAATCTAAATTGGTTAATAGCAGATACCCTAATCACTTCCTCCATATCAAACTTTAGTCGCTCGAAGTTACTTTGAACTGACCCAAGTGCAACTTTTTTATACTTCAATGAATTTATTCAGAAGTTAGTAAGCAAATTTTTTGAGATTTTTCTCAATAACGTTGAGTAAAAGATAAGGGTCAGTTAATTTTCAAATTCTTATTAAATGTTAAAAATAATATTAAAAATTGAATAAACAAAACACATAATAACACAATCCGGACTTACCAAAGTTATAATAAATCTTCCTATGCATAGTAACTAAACTGTTTTTTGTGTTGCGTTTTATCCAATTTACATATAATGATACGTTAGTAAAAATGTTATTCGACATACTGTTCCCAACAGCAAGTCCAGTGAGAACAGTCTTGTTACCCTCACTTTGAACAAAAATGCCGCTAGACTGAAACTGCGGAATACAAAGAATTATTAGTGAACTTCCCAAACGGATGTGCCATAATATAAAAACACTTTTAATTTTTACTTTAAGATTTTTTCCATGTAGAATATGGTTGATACAAAATTGTGATAACACCTTGGGTTTTATAAAGTACTTTTTTATATTTCTTTCACATATACTACTTGTTGTGACATTAGATGAAGAAAAGGTCAGTGTGACATAAAAATCGGAATATGATCGCATGTATTGCTGATAACGGGTCAGAACACCTTCTGAAGTTTTGTTAAAAGTATCATTTAAATCAGGTAGATCTACTATGTTAACGTATTGGTTGAGTTCAACTTTTCGTTCTAACCTTAATAATGCGATGTTATGCTTTTCTAGTGTCTGGATACCACTGAAATAACAATTTCTTTTCTACACCTTCATTAGTTTAAAATAACATATAAAAGTAATGGTGATTGTCTTACAGTCCCTGAAATTTTTCGTGAGTTATACGTTGTGTTGTTGTAACTACAATGGGAGATGTTGTGCCTGAGGAATTTACGAAATCAAGTAAAACATAGTATTTGTCAGCAGGAAATAGTCCAGTTTCGTCCATTAGACAACTGGCACTTGTAACAACATAGTTGTCTTTGATAAGTGCTCCACTGCAAAACGATCCTTCCTTGTCAAATATAGCTACGTGGTATGGAAATTGTCCTCTTGCAGCGAAATTGGAATCGGCCTCAGAAACTTATTAAGCACACAAACGTTATAAATTAAATTTTTTTTTTCATGATTGAACTTGTAAGGAATTGTAACGGCTTTTTTATTTGTAACAGACTTTTTCACGCACAAAAAAAAATGTCTTGGTAGATAGTTATGTCTTACTTTGAGTCATCAAAAGTGCTGCAACAATTTTTAATAAAATCATCTTGACGAAGATATAGTGCACCATATTTTTCAAAATTATTCGTTAAATAAATTAAATAATATGTGTGGTTAGTTTAAACTATCGTGTCACTTTCTGTTCTTTTGTCTTCAACTTTCGAGTAACCACTGCTTTTGTCCGAGTAAAAGCATCATTAGCTAATGTATATAGATAAAAATAAAATTATCACAAACAGTCATACTCATAGCACACTTGGTAAGCATTTATACACTCTTTTATATGTAAGATAACGCTTACTATAATTATATTTAAAAAAATTTGAGGTGATTAGGCTCGTTTATGATTTAGTAAGTATTTTTTTATGCCGTACTTAACAAGCAGATGTGTAATAAGTCAAGTTTCGTTTGTAAGAGAAAATTTGAAAAAAGAAAATATGCTAAAAGCAAATGTAGAAAGTGGTGACATCATAAAACACAAAGTACCAACTGAACATACCATGAATCTCCATTTATTCAGTGAATAGGTATCCGAACCATCTCAATGTTAACTTGTTAAATGCGATGCAAAACGTCGAACGCTAACAATCTTACACTTTTGCCTCCGATGGATGGATTCACTAAAACTTACGTTAAAGATATTTTAAAAATTGTATGATTAAAATAATGAATAGGAATTCCAAACGATTCATAAGGATAAATAATATTTCCTACTCAGAGCGTTTTTTTAACCTTTGGACGTTTACTGCTCCCTCAGTAGGAAAAATAGAGCTTGCAGATTTCAATTGAATTATGAATGTAAAACACAATTTACTTTACACTTTAAAAATACACTTTAAAATTTTTTTGAATTCGTTTGTACATAAAAAAATTAGCTACTATTCCTTCGAAGATAACAGTATACAAAAAATTCTAATTGCAAAATTCGAAATTAAGGATGTATATGAAAATAACAAGTATTGTTATCAAATTTCTCATGCCTACGAAATTTAGAAGTGTGTTTTCTAGAAATAATCTATTATAAAGTGAAAATGGAAGGATGTTAATGGAGGAAACATTTAATAAAAAATAACTTAATAATATAGTTCATTAATTGAAATGTTAAAAAACGGCCCAAATAAAAAAATTATAGTTGCTGTAAAAATTGTTTTTATCATACTATTGGACATACATTGTTTTAATGGATCGAACTTTTTTATTTAAGTTTTAGTTAAGTTATTTTCTTTCAAGCATTACTGTTAAGTTTAGTTTTAGTTCTAGTCAAAATCAATATTTAAATATTGTTTGAAGCATTGGCTTTTAAATCAATTTTGTAATAAATTAGGTGACTTTTTCGTCGACACGGCAGCTTCACAGAAATGCCTTATTGGTTTAAAAACTAACAAATACTTGAATACAATAACCAAAACGGTTTCCGTACATAACGGTATAAAAATAACGTAAGACCACACAGATGTCAATCCAAAATCAAAAACTTTTCATATTTTTATGTGTTTTTTCCTCAAGACTTGCTTGATAATCTTTATATTGAAGAAAATATTTGCACACATGCAATATCCATTATTTTGCTAAAATTCATGTTTCATTTTTATCTCTAGCTGAGAAAAACCAAAATCATACTTCTCAATATTTTTGTAATACACTTTTAAATCTTAAACGTAATCATTACAAGTCGATCGACGATAAATAATAATATTTACAAATAGTTATACTTTATTCGTGGATGGATCTGACCGACCGACGTACTAAAGTATGAACTTGACACTAATAAATCACTTACTCACCAATTATGGATGATCTTTTAATTGGAGATCTGAGCTTAATTTTTTTTTTTTTTTTTTTAAGATTTAATAAACAAAACATTTTCTCAATTAATCCCGTATCATGCTTTCCATACTGTTTAGCCGTAGAAGCTGACGTTGATCATGATACATACTTTGTTTTTTTTCGCATAGGCAAACATAGGAAATTTGAGTTATCGCCAAAAATGTGTCATTTATACCATTGGATTGGCTCCAAGTTGCCGTTTTTTTCACAATATGCTCTAAGATTGTAGAGAGTGATTATATACGAGAGGTATAACCTTTTGCTTCGTTCATACATTATTATCCGTCAGCTGGCCTCAAGCGAGATTTAAAAATAGCGCCCTCCAGCGAGGAACTCAAGAACCATTTGTGTCTACTCCTAGCTTGTTGCCAGTATATCTATGTGACTAATTGCAGACACGTTGGTCGGACATATAGATATACTGACTACAAACGCTAAGCTATGAACACATTCACAAGTGTCTTGCTTAATGGCATTTTTTATCTATGCTTGCTTCAAATCGACTATTTAACGAATTGGAAAACAAGAGCTCGGTGGTCGAGTGGTTAAGCGCGTATGAAGGCGCTAGTCATATTGAACATTGAGTTGCCAGGAGATACCGATGGTACGTGACCCGTCTAGGGGTATAGAGAATCTTGTCTCAGATTATACCCCTCTTTGCGAACGACCTCACCTCTTCGCACCCCTTGTGATGCACCGAGTGCACACACATTTTTTTGTAATTTAATCAATTGATTAATTCCTTTTTTTCCTTTTTTTCCCGATTACAACTAACATGGGGTCGAATCCCAT